AACATACTGGGTTTATATACCAAACAAACTGACCACATTGTACCATAAAATAGAAAATAACATTTGTCCAAGATTTGGCCAAATGTGGCTGTGAATAGGGGGATAGTAATTAATGGACTAGGGATAACTCCAGAATGGTAAATCGTATAATAATAGTCTATAGATCAAAATAGTATTTATAATAAGAGGGACACGAATATGAATACTTTAGTTACTTAACAGTTATACAGTAGGAAATATACATATCACATTGGACCATAAATAGTCCTCAAAGTTACCATTCATTATTCTCCACGGGATATAACAATGTTCCTTATTAGTGTTGAATAATGCCCAGAAGTAGATCCTACTGGTAAATAACCACGTCCAGCTGAAAAATTTCAGAAAGGACGAAAATAGCATCCTTAATCTCACTGCTAGTCACTATTCAACTTTAATAAATATCAATGACAATTTGTGATTTGTAAATGAGTTATTTACCGTTGATTTGAATGATCCTTCACTTTGCTTTGAGCGATTACTAATCTAACCGTAAACAATCGACTGATCTATTATGAATCAACAGAATCAACAACTCCACATAACGATACATTGTACTTGCACAGACTGATTACTTGATTGGTCAATAATACCATGTTCATCTAGTCAATCTAGCACTGATCGGATTTCATCGATCAGTTTGTAATATGGCTACTAGTCTAAATGACTATCTATTCATCACAAATATCAAATAAGTGGTATTAGAACAAACAACTATAGTTATGAGGTTAAAATCAAGCCTCATTTGTTAAACAAATCTAGAAAATTATTTAAAAGAATGATTCGGCCATTTGAAGTAGATTTTTTTATAGGATGTAACATTCCTAGTGACAGGTTCTTATTGTTGAGAAAGAACAGTTTGGTTTGCCAATAATGAAATATGACTTCAATTATCAAGAGATTTCAGCCTAAAAACATATTTTCGTATTTATGATCATACTACTTGAACCTGTTACGTAACACTATTCTTAATGTTTCAGTTCTCTGTAAACACTCATCATTGCAGTATTGTTATCATAAGTGAGATATTAAGAAAAATGAGAATAAATGTTATTTAGATTTATTTATATCATATCCTTTTAACAATATTTTACCTAGAAAACTTCAACTGGAAATTAGAAAGATCCTATCGTTATAAAATGAAAATTAATTTGTTGCCAAATTTCACAGGAAATCTTACACATTGTAATGTGGAGTTATTCAACCGAATTAATGAACTATGTAGTATTTTAATCAAAACGTCGGATAATCTGCAGGTATGTTTAATTCAAGAAGAATTGTTCCAACCATTAATATATTACAAACTTGTACATAATGTACAAGTAAATTTGTATATTGAGAAAAAAAATCTAGTCTACGTGATCACTCAATATGGAATCTGATAAAGTACTATGTCAAGATAATAGTATAGGAAAAGTGCCAGTGACGAGGGTTTTGTTTGTTCTCCGCTTTTGAACTCGGCTGCTATCTCTTCTGTGTTATATTGACTTAATTGGAAGGAAAAGAGGGAATATATCCCACACAAAATCATTTCTCAGAATCTTATACATCATAATCAAATCACCTCCTAATGTATGTTCTAAATTATCAAGCAGTAATGTGCGTGGTAAAACACGCAACTCAAGAACTGACCTGATAGATATCTTCTGTATTTTGTCCATGATATCTGAGGCACTTTTTAAATAAAGGCTTGGGGGCTGTGTGCAGTTTTCTAATTTGTAACTCCCTATGGTTATGTAAATTGTGTTGATTATACATGTATCTAGCACGGCCAAAGTAAATCTTAATCATAAACGGCTCCAAACTCTTTTGCTTCAGCCAAAAGACGGTGATCCGTGGCCTGAAGGCCACAATTGTGATTTTTAAATCATAGTAAGTTAGAACTAAATGCACAGACGTTTTCCTAATATTGTTGTTATTGCCATTTGCGTGACTAATGTATATAAAGATACACTCAGACACATAGGCAAACACAAATCATAACTCATATCAGCTAACCAGAACAGCGAGGTTGGCCTGGAGTTTCCTTATATAATTATCATATTTTGATGTTATCAACGTAAGATCGAAACTTGATAATATTCGAGAGTTTGAAACTTAATAGCTACACAAGTTTCAGGCACCCTGTACTTTAGTAGGGTGCATTCAAAATCTTGAACGGTATAATGATATTCAAGTGGGAATAGAAATAAGAATAACAGACAGAGTAAGACCAATTTTCATCTTTAGCCAACCCCACCAAACCAATCCATTGATCTTCAAGAATTGCGAAATACAATTCGACGCTCATTGACAAATCTTTCGATATGGATATATGTTCAGTATGACAGATAATATGATTAAAGTCTACCCTCTTCTAAATGACCATATAACATCGAGGTCCGTGGTTAAACCCCAAGAGAGGTAATAGGTGTGTAGCCATTTGTGTGTTAACCAAATCCAAAATAAAACAACATATGTTCAACGCCCTTGGGTTTTAAGCGATTCTTCACAATTATGCAAGTCTATGATGGAAACTTTAACTGTAAAAAAGAGCTGTATTACCGATGAGTGAAACTGTACACTAACATGTTTATTAACCGAAATTAAATACGGTCAAATAGGTATGGGAATCGATACAACAATGAGACCAGATTGATATAAATAAATGTGTCTAATTAAAATGTTAGTTTATGTACTGAACGAATGTGGTATGCTTTAAACGGTTCAAATGATATCGTATCTTTTTTCATCATATTAATGGATAATATATACATTTCAAAATATTTTATAGCTTTTGCCTTTTTTATAGAATTATATCTTGTCCTATACGAAACATCTTTTGGAATACAAGTCAGATTTTTTAAGCGCAGCTCAATTTAGATTCATACGACCAATAGACTTACAAATAGATGAATCTCTAAAAGACGACTCAATAATCAATGATCAAATTGACAAGATACGAACATATCAAACCAACATAAATAATTCACGAATATTATTGGATGAAGTGGATAGAATGAATCAAAGAATAAAATATATATTTAGAAATTTGTTAAAATCGACAGCAGACTATTTGATATCGCCTAGCTCTTGATTTTTGTTTTCATGGAGTATGTATAGGTTGTATAGTTTAATAGGAAGAGAATAAGAAGACAATAATATTTTCTTTAAAATAAACCGTTTCGAACGATTTTTCTGACTAAATTATTTTACCTACCGCAAGGGATTTGGCATGTCCGAATGTTAATGGGAGAACTTAAATTGATGGGGTAAAAAACATACTGTCGTAGTCAACATTACAATAAGCGAAATACTATGACAAGGCATTCACCAGACATTACTGATTGCTAATAAATAGATAACTGGAAAATCATTGTTTGACAGATATTAGCCCTTCTATGCAAAAAGAAAAATATGTCCAAATAACAAGTAGACAAGTTTTGTTCATTGTAGGATGCTTATAGAGAGATAAATTGTGTCCACAATTACCTAGTTTTTCATCTAAATACTTGACTCGTTTATTTAACCTTTTGGGCATACAAACTGGCTTCTTAAGATACATCAATCTAACTAATGCTACACTAAGCACCCTTAAATGCTTGTTTTCGTTTATAAACATGTACACTGAGACAAGTAGTGGAATGTGTTTCCTACCCTACCGAAAATAAAGTGTACGATAAATAAAGTTTTCACAAAATTTAGTACCATTTTGTGCAGTGCGATCCAATGAACTAGTGTGATAGGAAATGGACAGATAACTTATGAATTTTGTCCCTTGAAGTTATCAAGACCCCAAACAAGACTAATGAATCACAGAGCAGAAACATGTCTGCACCGATCCTTAGGGCGGGTTTTTGACTAAACTTTGACTGTAATTGGCTTGAACTAGCCTTGACTATAAGTTCGACCACTCACAAAGACAAATTCAAGTTCAGTGATTCAGCTGGCAGTTTCATTTGTTCACATTAACTTCATAATATTGTCGCCGAATTGAACTTAACAGTTATACATTACACATTGTCAGCTTTCACTGCACTATGAACAGTATGTAGAACCAGTGAAAGTTGTGTATTCTCAACTAAAAAGAAGAATCGATCATAACAGTCAGTGCTCTTATTTAAGTAAACCTTTGAATGATATAATCAGGCTAGTGGTAGAATAATATATTCATTGAAATGAGGAGGGACATGTAGTGGTCGTATCCCGGTGGTCTGATCATTCTTCTCCTGTTGACATTTATTGACCTTCACACTTAGCGAATATTCAGCGACCAGTGAGAATTTTCAGTGCTATTGTATTTTTAGTTTCAAGGATGATTTCTGGTGATTATTCAGTGTAATTTTACTGTTACCAAAGACCTCCTGACATCGATGAGAAAGCTTTCCTTCACAGCTTGCACTCAATGTTCGCTAGCCGGATACCATCAACAAAAGTTTAATGTGGTATAGGACAAACCAACTTCCATGTGAAGATGAAATTAGAAGAGGTCGCTTGAGGTGAATAGGATATACGTTTAAGAAATAATCGAACCACATCTTGAGACAAGCTCTGATATGAGATCGAGGACGGAAAAGGAAAAGAAGAATACTTTGAACGCACTTGGTTGGGAATTAGAAGAAAACGTTAAAAGAATGAATATCAACCAGGAAACACTGAAAGCGATTGGCTAGAACATATTTCGATGGAGAATCCTGATGAGTGGCCTATACTCCTCCACGAAGCGTAACAAATGTAAGTGAGTACTCGTTCTTCCCGAATATATTAAGTTTTCGAAACCTCTGCACCGCCAAACGACCTAAAAACATTAAACTACATCTGACTCGTGACAAAATCCTCACCAGTTAACAATTTGATGGAAGTAATGAAGTATTGACGAAGTGTACACATCTCTGAAAATTGGAGATTGAAGGCTCAATATTTTGTCCCCAAACGACCTTGGCGATCCCGTTGGCGCTGTTACGATGTTAGTTTGAGCTAAGATGTTTCCCGTTGGCCAAGGGAAATATGAATGTTTGATTAATGAGTATGACCATTCACAGCCAGATCCTAATCTAAGAGGGACCCAGAATCTTCAGAACAAAAAAGGAGTATGGGATCATATCCAAAATTTGGACCAGTTTTTCTCGGATATTTACAAATATCATCAGAGTGGGGGTTTCACTGTAAGTTTAATTAGTCCCACTATCTTCCTAAGCATGTTCTAACAAGTATCATAAAATTTTCGCTCATATTTGGTGTATCCTAAAACAACAGAAACAAGAATACATCCCTTTACGTTGACCCCAACTTCAATGCAAGAATCTATCGTTTTGGGTTTGGTATAACTGAAACAAATACATTAACATTATTGATTCCCTCTGAACTTCTGAATTCGCGTTAACTTCCTGCTAGTAAAAGGAAGTCTCTAAAACTTATACTTTTCACCTCACCTTAAACTGACTTATCTTGATATACTCTACGCCACAGCTTTTCACCTTGACTTTTCAAATATCAGTTTGTTAAAATGGAAAATTACTATTTTCAGCTTACTTTTTACCAACCGACACTATATTCACAGCTAGTCGTATAAGGACCATTATACAGATATTATTTTTATTGAGTTTATACATCCAATCCCAGTTGCCTGTAAACCTGTATTGATATCTTGATGCCCTATAAATACTGAAGAAAGTTTGTTTTCACCTTATTTCACTCTGTACTTACCGTTGATGCTAATTTCGCCAACTCAGTATTTATTATAGTTCATTGTATTGATGCTAAAATTATGACTAACTAGTCATTCACATATTTGCTTATCTATATTTAAGATGGCCATCAACTGCAGTTGTGAAACGCCGTGTTAGTAACAAGTACCACTTTTTTCAATTTCATTATCAACCTGGCTTCTGTGGGCTTTCTACAACGCACTGGCGTTCATCTGTCTGATTCGGTGGATGCTGAGTGTAACAATATACGTGAATCCGCCTAACAAAACATATGAAACCTACAAAATTTGATGGCCTAAGCACACCATTGAAGTAGAAGCAAAATTCACTTAACGTGATTGACATAAACCGTTACCGTGTATTCAACCCACTGACAGCAAGAAACGTGTCTGGCAATTTCTTTGATTATTGTTACCCTTATTAATCGTCTGTAAAAACGTCTGAAGAACTAGATGAAATATTTTATTAGGTAGTGAGGCGTATCCATTGCTCCAATCATTCAAACTAACCCTTCGTGATTGGGTAATGCCAAATTATCTAATAGTAACTCTATGTAGTAAAATGCTACCGGACTAAATGATGTATTTACAAAGCCAGATAAGGTTGTTCGCTCACGTTACCCCCCTTTAATCCTCTCGTGGACAATTTTTATTTTATTTAAACACAAGTATTGGTACAAGGAAGCACCAGATATATATGCGCCGCACAAATCTCATTCGATTTGTGTGAGGGCTGTGATACTGCCCAGATTGAAGCAGGTGGTTTTCTTAGGGGGCCACATCCGGAGCCTTTGACCTAAAGGTCTGATCCACAAGGCAGTGGAGCATCGTGAGAAGATGCAGTCCCATGGTAGCCGGTGACCAACGATTGATTCATACGCCATTTGTTCCTTCAGGATACTGTAGCCCATGTGCACCATTGGTTTGGAATCAGGGTTCTCCAACTCCTCTAGGTGGACCCTTCATGTCCATCAATCTGGTTAAAGGGTCGAACATTCGCTTTTCGTCCTCTCAATTCCGTAAACAACAGTAATGTCACGAGAAGGCAATGAGTAGGACTTCCCTGACAGAGGCTATATATTCGCGTGGCCATGTGAGAGTATTTCGAGAGGGAGAGCGGACTCTCCCCACTCCCGGCCGTACCAGGGCATTTGGGGGCACTCTCATGGACAGTGTTTCGCAAGCAACCCCAATGGGACTATTTGATAGTAATAATGTGGATCCAATTCCTAAGAGGAAATGCTTCGTATATGGGTTATTGTATTTTTCTATACAATCACACAGGCTATCCTCTTTGTACTTAATCCTATTAGAAGTATCTGTTAATATGGCATGCACTTAGCACTGTCCGAGTGTGAAGTACTTCTACAGGATAAAAAGACTTCCTGCTCTGATATTGATTGGTTATTATTTGAAAATATTCAAGTAGATCATGTACCCGGATAATTTTAGCGAGTGTTAGTGATTATGACACACAAAATACACTTAACAATAGTCAAAGTGAGTTAGACCAACTGTGACCATCCCTGTCGCGATATCATTCTGGATTATAGCGTTACAGTCCAAGCAGTACTACTTACTTCTTATGAAGACTCTAATAACAGAACTTCTTACAACTCCACATTTTGTTGTCAGTGAGTCCAAGAAAGTACCCCCGCTCTATGTTGACATCATGTAATTGTTGCTGAAGTTATACAGCGTATATTTTCACTTAGTGGTAGCTTATTCAGCGATCGACGTAATATTGAAACTAGTCGCACTGTCGTGAATACATTTTGAATACAGAGATTCATCAGCTTCCTTATTATCCACTATTTCCTGATACTGGGACAGTGAGAAAAGTTAAACAATGCTAAGGTAATGGTATCATCGAGAGTTAAACGATAGATGTATTGGATTCTCATTTATTGACATATCATGACTTCTTAAGCACGGTCCTGAAAATCGTTCCACTCACTGATTTTAGATGTTATCAGACAATTCAGAATTAAGTTTGGTGATCTCACTGTTATTCTTTATCGTGTTTTTTCGAAATCTACATTGATCACTTCCACCTGGAACTTAGTCACTAGATATTTCAGGAAACGCACAAATACCAGCCGCCAAGTCCCTAAAATTATCTGGGTCGTCAAATTATAGGAATCTCTAAAAAAATTATGTTAACAATTTCACTAACCTAGAGCTTATCACACCGTCCATCATTTAGTTTTCGTTACCTTTATGTAATTCATTTTCGCCTAACATTATTATAACCAGTATAAAACCTTTCATTGACAGGCATTATGCACTGTTTTAAACTCCCGGTGTAGAGCTTGTAGTGTAAACTGAAAAATGTTCGACTTCGGCCTTCATACACAAAGCCATCTTACTGCACCCTTAGTTAAACATCGCACCGAACTTGGCATTTCCTCTACCCTGTGATAAGTGCCTTAACTTTTCCAATATTTGCTAACTCCAATGTCTTCTGGTTACCTCCAATAGTACCTTTTATTTATGTTCATTTGTTTCACTTAAAGTGGTATAACTTGCATATTCTGACTAATTATGAATAATGAATGAAATGATGAACTCTATTGACGATAATATCCCTGCTCATACTAAAAGCAAGACAATTAACATTATTATTATTATTACCTTTATTATTATTATTTACCATATCGCTAACTCACCCCCTTTTATCCCCACTTTGTGTAACCTTACTTTTCAACTTATGCAGCAGCTCGCCCATGGTGGAAAATCTGTCCTATCTAAACGATCTCCAGTCACTGTCTGGTTGAAAGTGAATGCTTCCACCGATAATGAATACTGAAGCAGTCTTTCTGAAACCACGTACGCCGTTCAAGCTGGCTTCCTTCAACGTTCGCACACTAATGCATATCAGACAGCAGATAGGGCTGGCTATGTCTTTGGAAGGTCTTAATGTTGACGTTTGTTGTCTATCCGAGACCCGTATTCAAGACTCTAGTGAAGTACTACAAATCCGCTCTCCATCTGTCGCCTCGAAGAGCTTGTTCCACGTGCGCTTATCCGGGGACCCTGTGGCATCTTCGTCTGATCTTGCTGGCGTTGGTGTCGCACTAAGCGCTAGAGCTGAGGCAGCACTAATCGATTGGATCCCCATTAACAGTCGGTTATGTGCTGTTAGATTAGAAAGTTCCATCAAAGTGAGAAGAAATCGGCGTGAGAAACGGTGTCTTTTCGTCATCTCCGCCTATGCCCCGACAGATTGCAGCCCGGATGCAATCAAGGATGAGTTTTACCATCAGTTAACAGTTCTTCTCCAGAAAGCGCGTTCGACAGATATTGTAGTACTAGCCGGAGACTTGAATGCACAGGTCGGGCGTCTAGGCACAGAAGAGAGTCGTCTAGGTGGCCGATGGGGACTTGTTGGTCGCAGGACAGATAACGGGGACCGTTTGCTGCAACTGTGCACAGACCACAACCTGTTCCTGGCCAGCACTAACTTCCGGCACAGTCATCGCCGGTGTGCCACCTGGCGTCCTCCCTCTGCATCCCAAGCCTGGACTCAAATTGATCACATCGCGATCAGCTACCGCTGGCGTGATTGTGTACAAGACTGCCGCTCCTTTTGGAGTACCTATCTGGAGTCTGATCATGCCCTGGTCTGCGCCAATCTCACCTTACTTTTCAGTGGCCGAAGGATTGACCACCACCAACGGATTGATTTTAGTAAACTGGCTGCAACTTCTGTTGCAAGTAAGTATCGAGCGGAGCTAGCCTCTAGGCTAGCTACCACTCCACCGAAAAGTATAGATGAGCATTGGTTGCATCTTCACGACGCCATGAAAATGGCGAGTAAAGCCGCTTGCGGCTTCGCGAAACGTCTCGCTTACAAGCACTGGGTTTCTTCTGGCTCCTTACAACTGATGGAAGCCCGTCGGTCTACTCCGGGTGACCGTGAGTTTGACCACAAACGAAGGCTGTTACGTAATGAAATCGGGCAAAGCTTGCGTAAGGACCGGGAAGCCTGGTGGTCGGAGCGTGCTAATGAGATGGAAGCAGCAGCTGCATCTGGTAACTGCCGGAAGCTCTTCCAACTCATCCGAACCACTGGCAGCAAGAAGTCTGGTGTGAGTGAAACAATCTACGAGGATGACGGGATGCCAATCACTAACATCTGTCGACGTCTTGGACGATGGGCGAAATTTTTCGAAGGGCAGTTCAACTGGCCTGCTGCTCCGGCAACATCAACCAGCTTGTCCTGCCCCCCCATGGCCGGTGACGACTGATCCACCAAACGAGGCGGAAGTCCGCAAGGAACTCCAACTCTTGAAACGTTATAAATCACCTGGCCCAGATGACTTACCTCCGGCTCTTTTTAAAGATGGTGGTGACTTTCTGGCTAAGGAACTGACTGCGTTGTTTGGAAAGGTTTGGGAGCAAGAAAGTGTTCCAACATCTTGGAATGAGTCAATAGTCGTCCCTATCTTTAAAAAGGGTTCCGTTGTTCCTGCAATAACTATCGGGGGATAAGTCTACTTTCGATTGCGTCCAAACTATTGGCTTCTATCATTCTTCGTAGGTTGTTTAAAACCCGAGAACGATTGACTCGCGAGGAGCAGGCTGGTTTTCGTTCTGGTCGAGGATGCATTGATCACATCTTCACCCTCCGCCAAATGTTAGAACACCGTCTTACTTATCGCAGGCCAACAATCGTAGTGTTTCTTGATATCAGGGCGGCCTTCGATTCGTTGGACAGGACTGTTCTCTGGGATTGTCTATTGAAGAAGGGTGTGCCTGAGAAGTTTATTAACATCTTAAAGGCCCTGTATACGAACACCTCAGGCAGAGTGAGGGCATACAACCACCTTTCTCCCTTGTTCCATTCGAGCAGTGGGGTTAGACAGGGTTGCCCGATCTCAACATTCCTCTTCAACTTTGCCATCGACGACATCCTGGAAACAGCTCTGATGGATGTAAGTAATGACGGTGTGGATCTGCTGCCTGGAGAACGACTTCTCGACCTCGAGTATGCGGATGATATTGTCTTACTGTGCGATAATGCCCAAGGCATGCAATCAGCACTTAATCAGTTGGCAATCAGTGTCCGCAGGTACGGCATGTGCTTTGCACCCTCCAAGTGCAAAGTACTCCTACAAGACTGGCAGGATTCTCATCCTGTACTCACCCTGGATGGTGAGCAGATTGAAGTAGTTGAGAAGTTCGTGTATCTAGGTAGCTATACAAGTGCTGGTGGTGGCGTGAGTGATGAGATTGATGCACGTATAATGAAAGCCAGAGCGGCTTATGCCAATCTGGGCCATCTTTGGCGCCTTCGTGATGTTAGTCTGGCTGTAAAAGGTCGGATCTACAACGCGTCGGTGAGAGCAGTTTTGCTCTATGCTTGTGAAACCTGGCCTCTCCGAGTTGAGGATGTTAGACGACTCTCTGTGTTCGATCATCGTTGTCTCCGAAGGATTGCTGACATCCAGTGGCAACACCATGTTAGTAATGCAGAGGTTCGGAATCGTGTGTTCGGGCGCAGAGACGATAATTCAATTGGTGTCACCATCTTGAAACACCGACTTCGGTGGCTTGGACATGTTTTACGAATGTCGTCCCAGAGACTTCCACGTCGTGCATTATTTGCCGACCCTGGGACTGGTTGGAAAAAGCGGAGAGGAGGTCAGTGTATGACATGGTGTCGTGGCATGAAAGAGAGCTGCAAAGGGCTAGCTTCCGTTGGTCCTTCACGACTCCCTGGTTGGGGTCCGAGAGATAGTGCAACACAGTGGCTAGAGACGTTATCAGATATGGCTCAGATTAGAAGCCAGTGGCGATCCTGCTGCAACCTTCTTTTACTTTCTACATAAAGAATGGTTCTAACTTTCCTAACTGAAAGAGTCTTCTGGTTGTACATTTCAGTCCGGCTTATCTTTTCATCCCTTCTCTTCCTACTTTCATTATTTTGTGTGGCGCATATGTACCTGGTGCCCTTTTGTACCAATATATATGTGTTTAAATAAATAAAATAAAATAAATAAATAATGAATAAAATATTTTGTTATCAAAGCTTTGTGTAAATCATTAACTGCAGTGATACTACTCATAGTGATACTTTATGGGTACAGTCATATTATGTAACCTTGTCTTATCGTTGTAATTATTATACCTTTGCTGTTCCCTAGCTAACTGGATTCCCAGTTCCGAATTAGAATAATGTCAAACTGACTTAATACTCACAGATAACTTTTAATAAGCTTTTCTCATTTCGATTTCCAAACTGAATTGTTTATGTTAACATCGATCACTTTTGTTTAACGATTTATGTATTTGTGTCATGTTCATTAATCAAAAAACCTTCCATTTAATAGTGTATATCGAGCTTAATTTCTATGTGTACGTTTTATTTATTATTCTGTTTATTTAAAGTGGTTATATAAGTGCCTACATTTGGGGAGGAGACTTCATATGAAATTTATGAACGTTTTCTCATACCCTAGTTCTCAGTCGGTTAAATTCGACGTATAACCCTGTATTTATCTACGTCTGTTAAAGTTTCTTAGTCCATTAGTACAGCGAAATTATATTGTTAGAGCAAATTTCATAGTTGAGGTATTAACAGTATCGGTTGTGATAAAAAAGATTAGATATCGAAGATTCGATTCAATAAAATAAAAATTATTGAAATAAAAAGGTTATGAGAGACTCAGAAGCTCAGAATCTTTAGAAGATGAAGAACAGATGCATCTATGGTATTACAAACTATTTCGAGCCATGTCTTTCAAATTCTCTAACCACTGGTTACGAGAACCATGCAGATCCCAACCAGGTAACGTACTCCTGTTAACATGGCTCAGTCAGTAACTGCATGGGCTGGTGTCATTTTTGTATTTGACCCCCTAGCTTTCTTCTAGTCTCCCCCCATCGAGGTAGGCGTCCGTTGAGTATACTCTTGTTCTACTTGTGTTGCTTCAAATAAGTTACCGGTATAAGATGTCGATTCATGCCAAAGGTATCCCTAAAACACTAAAAGTTTCTTATATGTAATTTGTTACATTTTCGGCCTAAATATACGCCTAAAGAGATCTAGTTCAATCTGTTATTGGCGATAGTGATAGATAGAAATGGATGACTGTTTAGAAATGAGTTTTATTGAGGCTTGGAAAAGCCAGAGTGATTTCAGTTAGAACTATAAGTGCTTCGAGTACATATTTACTTTTCGTTAAATGGTGAAAAATATAGGCATACTTAACATTTTTTTCCCTAATAGCATCGTAGGTGTGAACTGTAGTACAATACTTATAAACTGAGATAAAAATTGCAACCTAGTACTTCCTAGTTTCCAATGATCTCCCAGCTAACATCTGTGTATATGCTAAAAAACTAACCTCAACAATATTCTATTGGTTGATATAAGCCTAAGTAAAAACCTTACCATTGTTAAAATCCAATTTGTCAATAATGAATTCCATGTATAAATGTATTTTTGTGTTTTATTCATTTAGTGGACGTTTAGTAGAAAATAATTCCTAAATGCTTTCTTTCTTGTCCTATTGTTTACCATTAATTTTACTAAGCTTTAGAGCTTTTTTAAGTCATGTGATAATGTAAATAGTCGATATGTTTTTAAAACACTATGCTATTTGTCAATTATATAGGTATTAATCATTTTATTTTTTGGTGATATTTTGTTCAGGTGATTCTTTTGACGCAAATATTATGGCTCGTTAAATTCATATTTGTCATTTTTATTACAATCGAATTATCTGTATGCACAAGATGGAGTTACTTAACAAATAGCAGTTTATTTGTTCAAAACTGGACTGATGTATTTCAGCCACCAAATCAATGTTGGGCCTCACTACCATTTTTTGCGTCACTTCTAGTTGTTGGTTCTGTGATAACAGTTATAGTTCAAATCATATATGTTAGTATTCGATTAAGTCGATTTTGGGAAATTCGACGATTTTGTACTTATATATTAAATATGCCATCAAGCGATGTTGGGTTAGCTGATTTAACATGGTCTGAAGTACAACAACGTTTACTCCAATCACAATGTGATTTTCAATTTTGTTCATACAAAGTTAATTTAGATGAATTAGATATATACAATCGTATACTTCGCCATAAAAATTATTTAATTGCAATGATTAATCAAGATATTATTCCTATCAGATTTCGTATACCATCTAGTTTAAATCCCCAAATGGTTTATTTACCTGATGGTTATCTACTTAATTTGAAACTTATCTTGTTTTGGACACCATGGTCACCTTTTCATAATTATTGGCAACTGAGAGCTGATTATAAATGGGTTACTAAACGTCATGAATTGGCTGTTGAACTAGCTACTCGAATACGTATTCTTGGATTGATCAATCTTCTTATGGCTCCTGTAATCTTCATTGCTCAATTAGTAACGTTTATATGCGCTCATGCAGAACGTTTTCGATATCAACCATCTACATTTTTTGGACGTCGTTGGTCTAATTATGCTCGCTTGTATCTACGACATTTCAATGAACTCCAACATGAATTTGAAACACGTTTGAAACAAGCATATATTCCAGCTTCTCGATATCTTGATAGTTTTGTATCACGACCACTTACAGTTTTAGCTGAGTCAGGAGCTTTTATTTTCGGTGGTGCTTCAGTAGCTTTTTTTATTGCTGGTCTTGTAAGTGAACAAATGATCCATCTGCCTGGTTATTTAGCTATACTAGTTGGTGGTGGCTTGTTGGCTAGATTATGTCTTTCATTAATTCCAGATGAGAATGTGGTCTATTGTCCGCGTAATTTATTAGTGTCAACCTTGATGCGTATTCATTACATGCCAGATCATTGGAAAGAACAAGCTGGCACACATCAAGTGAGGTCAGAATTTTCACAATTGTTTCAGTATCGTATGGTAGGTCTATTGGAAGAGTTATTTTCACCAATTATTACACCTTTAATTCTTATTTTTATTCTTCCTAATCATACCCTCGAAGTTGTTGATTTTCTTCGAAATTATACTGTTGAAGTCCCTGGCGTTGGAGATGTATGCAGCTTTGCACAGCTGGATATACGCCGTCATGGTGATCCTATGTGGCAACCAAATACAGAAAGTAGTGGTGACGATCAAAGTGAAACAGATAATGATGATCATACAAATGCAATTCACTCTTGTTCGAGGGAAACTATCAGATCTAGTAAACGGGTAGAAGAGATAACTCCATCATATAACTCTAATGAACAGAATGAAAATACCGTACAAACTAATCATGGTGATTCAATCCAACACAGTGCTGCTGGTGGTAAAATTGAACTTAGTCTTATGCATTTCCATCTTACTAATCCATCTTGGAGACTTCCACCCGATGGTTTGGCTTATCTGAAATCAATCAGGAACCAAGCATTATTGGACCTACAACAACAACATTTAGAGCAATTCCAAGACTCTGGCAAAAATAATACTCAAACTGAGAAAATTACTTCACAACCAACCTCAGGAATGTTCTCAACTCTGTATGGAACACAAGAAAGTGCAATGACTAGTATATATCGAAGTACACACCCTCATCTTCCCAATGCACCATGTATTGAAAGTTCAGGTGTCCTGAAAAATGTTTCTCATCTACCAGGTTCTGGACTACGATCTGAAAATACCTATGGTGTTATAGGAGCTATGGCCGAATCTGTGAGAAGTTCAGGATCTCAGTCAATGTATCGTTCAGGTTCCAATCTCCGTGAACCTCAAGTGCTAGAACCTAATGTAAGAAGAGTTTCTCATAGTGATAGTGGTACTAATACATTACCATTATGTACCAATTACAATGTTGCAAAGATTTCTCCAGAAACTAATGTGGTGCCACAGAAACCTAATTCAGAAATGATTAAATCTCAATTTGGTCCAGCCGTATTTAATTATTCTATGCTTGATGGACCTACACCTATAACCATGAGCTTGATGGCAGCATCAGCACTGCATTCTGCTGATAACATGGGTCTTCCTTTTTACCAACCTTATAATTCGCAGATCGAGGATGGTTTAAGTCAGCATACTGGTTTCAATAACAGTCTGATTGGAAGTGTAGGAGGCCGCCGCTGCACAGTAACTGACGTACTGACAGCAGACATGTCAGTAAGTGCTCTTTATATTCATGAGCTTTTCCATAGAAGACGACAACAACGACAGAACCACGATTCAAGTCGGGGCTATAGTTCACAGCGTGGTATGACAGGTAGTACTCCTGGTGCTAATCCTGGAAACAATGAAACTTTTCCCTCTGCACAGTCATCAAACCCACTAGGTGTAGGTGTTTACTCTACATCTGGATATTTACCTAGTTATCAGTTGCCACATGTTTCATTTGCTCCGACTACATTTACTAATAACTCAGCCACTATACCAGAATCAAGAAATACTATTGAACGTGGTTCTCTTTATCCCACCTCACCGTCTTGTGAGCCTGGTATCATTAGAACGCCTTCAGATGGACGCAGAATACCCTCAGCACATTTTACTGATGTCACAGAAGAAGATGATGAAAATGTTGGGACACCTAGATCATGTAGAGATACAAACGTTTCTGCCTATATAACAGGAAGTGAGTCACATATAATTCGTTATCCAAGTGGCCAAATAACTACAGGGGGTGGTATCATTACTCTGTCAGGTAGTCCATCAGTACGACCTCAGCATGGTCTGTCATATCAAAATATACAACAAACAAGTGACCCAAGTTTGGGTTCAGTTCCTAATATTGACAGTGATCCAATATGGCCTGATTTGCCTCCAACTAATTGTTAATCTTATTAATATACACACAAATCGGTGTTTGTGTGTTCAACTGTGTAAAGCGGTAACTAGATATGGTTTTAACGTCATCTAACCTACCCAATCATTAATAAGAATAACAATGAAGTGAATTACTAGTTTATTTTAAACAAGTTTTTAAACACTCAATAACACATGCATCCATTCATATTTCTTTACTTTATATTCGCTTAATTACCTTAGCTAAGGCGTATTTCAACGTATACAAACTACCCAATTAAAATTACGTCCACATTAGATTGAACATATTTTTGCTAAATTATTCAAACTTGCTTTACTAACTATGTTAGCATCATTTCACTTCCGTTTTATGCAACTACATATATATATATATATATATATATATATATATATATATATATATGAGGTGGCTTTCTGTAACGCAATAATAGTTTAACTGTTGCTAATTGTTTTTTGTTTGTAATCCCTATGCAGTTTTTTAAACTTTGTAAATAGGTTTATATTTTACGTATACTTTCAAGTATTTAATGGTCCCAGTCATTTTTCCTAATCTAAGTTGATAAAATACAATCTAGCACAACAAACGTATTGGTTCATTTCGACATATTTTAAAAGGAAAACTGCAAAATTAATGATGAGAAACTGATGTATCCTGTATCCTACTCACTGTCTTCTCGTGGCGGGGTTGTTGTTTACAAAATTGAGAGGATGAAAAGCGAATGTCCGGCGCTTTAACCGGGTTGGTGGACGAGGCGAGTCCACCCAGGGAAGTTGGAAAACCCTGATTCCAAACCAATGGTGCACATGGGCTACAGTATCCTGAAGGAACAAATGGCGTATGAACCAACTGTTGGTCGCCGGCTACCATGGGACTGCATCTCCTCACGATGCTCCACTGCCTTGTGGATCAGACCTTTAGGTCAAAGGCTCCGGATGTGACCCCCTAAGAAAACCACCTGCTTCAATCTGGGCAGTATCACAGCCCTCACACAAATCGAATGAGATTTGTGAGGCGCATATATATCTGGTGCTTCCTTGTACCAATATTTATGTGTTTAAATAAATAAATAAATAAAATAGTGAATCCCTATAATGATACCTGTCTCAGACCATCCGCTTCTGTTGTCGTACAAATCTGTATTAGTACTTTTTCAGTTTATAATGTTAAAGAAAACAATATGCAGTCACGTTATGAGCTGTATAAAATGGCTAAATCGAATTTTTTGATTTGCTACTAGCTTACAACTGCTGAAACAAGCACTAGGCCTGTACGCAAGCAATATGTTTATGTGTAACGTATATTAAATATCTCACTCCATCTTAATGACCTACTAAATAGATTGCATGAAAACTACTTTTCATAGAATTATTTTGACTCAAATATATCAGATAGAAAGCCTCGCTTGTTATGAGGATAACTAGTTTTTTTTGCAATGATTCTCTGCATTAATACGAAAAATGCATGTTATTTTCATTTATGTTTACCTAGCCATCTCACTCAGCTAAAATTAACATGTTAATAACATAAATGGTAAACTCAGTCGACAATTTTCTTCCTAGTATGTGCTTGTTCATGTTTTATTCGCTACCAGAATCAATATCCATTACTTACTTACGCCTGTTATTCCCAATAGAGCATAGGCCGCCGACCAGCATTCTCCAACCAACTCTGTCCTGGGCCTTCCTTTCTAGCTCTATCCAATTTTTGCTCATTCTTCTCATGTCTGTCTCGATTTCCCGGCGTAATGTGTTCTTTGGCCTTCAGGATTGCATGTGAGGGCTTGCCTTGTGACGCAGTTGGGTGATTTCCTCATTATGTCCTATCCACTTCCAGCGCTTCTTCCTGATTTATTCCTCCACTGCAATCTGGTTTGTTCTCTCTCACAGTAGGTTGTTGCTGATAATGTCTGGCCAACAGATCCGAAGTATTTTGCGTAGACAACTGTTAATAAACACCTATATCTTCTGGATGAGGGCTTTCGTAGTTCTCCTGGTTTCCGCCCCATACAGTAGAACTCCCTTGACATTTGTATTGAAAATTCTGATCTTGGTGTTGGTTGATAATTGTTTTGAGTTCTAGATGTTCTTCAGTCGTAAATATGCTGCTCTTTCTTTGCTGATCCACACCTTCACATCTGGATCAGATCCACCGTGTTCATCAATGATGCTGCCCAGATATGTAAAGGTTTCCACATCCCCCAAACTTCTCCGTCAAGTGTGATTCGATTGGTTATTGTTGTGAATCTTGCTTTTCCCTTTGTGTATATTGAGACCTACTGCTGATAAGGCTGCTACTACACTGGTCGTCTTCTCCTGCATTTGTTGTTGCGTGTGTGATAGAAGAGCCAGATAATCTGCGAAATCCATTAAGTTTCTGAAAGTATATTCTAAAAGATTGCCTCAACATTGAGAAACTATTTTACAAGTACTACTGGCCTTAGTTTGTCGATGTAAGTTTCTCTATATTTTAGAAAGATATACCTGCACTTTGCATTAGTATCCAGTTATGTAGCCAAGCTATTCAAAGAAACTTAAATGTTCCTCCCGTAAACTGTCAGGGTACAGTGAATAAGACAATATATAGGCTTAGTACTTCGAGCTATCATGCATGTGTTAGTACACTTCACAACATTAAAAATGCAGTGACTCAGCCAACCATAACACACTTCTCTACCACTTGAGTTATAGAAAGCTCTGAATATCAAGCTACCTACCGTTATTATACAAAAACTATATGTCGTCTCGAAGTGAGTAGTTCCACCACACGCAAAGATATTTAAATATATATGTCCTCAAGTGCTTGTGTCTTTCATCCATCCTCAACAAGCATGTTTTCAACACAAACCGACTTGAATGTTGAAAGTGAATAATTACGAAAAAGATTGGATCATTTTGTCTTGTGTTCTCAAAATAAATATCCAAACAGCAATTTAGAATAATAAAACCATCTCTCGCAAGTATAGGGTGTATGTCGGATTATTTCTCACGACGCGCCAACCCCTATGTTGTCTTAACTTCTTTGTATAACAGATAATTTTTCTGACTGAAAGACCTAAATCCTCGAAACTGAAAGCAAGCATACCCGCCTCTGATAGGATTATCTAAAAGGAATTATAACAATGAACTTATTTATTGATACTACTCCGTCACTAGCTCAGAATTTAACATTACATTGATATGTGGTTGTGAAAGTAAAGTATGATTGGTCGTTGAGCGTGGACAAACAACTACAACCTACGGACTATTAAATATGTGATTTTTCTTCTGATCATTGATTTCCATTCTGAACTCAGTGTATGTGACTGATTGTAATTGTATTGAATATAGTATTCTCTAGTGTTAATCTGGTTCTCTGTTTGGGTCGCGAATCGTGGTCCCGATATAATGTGATTAGTCTTATTAACGTATTGTCGTAACATACGTAAAAAAAGAATATTGTAAACCATCCGTTATATCGTATGTTCTAGTGAATAATCGGGATTCACATGTTTCATCGACACTCGAGTCAGACACTTATACGTAATCTCTCAGCTGAAAAGGTGGAATGCCATCTTGATGTGGAGAAATATGGTCTATGTAGAGGGCGCGAAGCTGTGCTTCACAAACCAATAATAATCTGACTGATGACATGAGACTTGCATAGTTTACTCAAACTTATATAAACTTCTGCCATGTATCTGACGAGTGTGAATCCTAAGCATTTCGAAGCCTAAGGCCCAGTAACTATCACAGAACGCCGCTAAAACCTCCAACAGGACCAAAGTAACTCAATACTCTCATAACCACTAACCTTATTTCGAAATCAAACGGTAGCGCTTTCTTCTAATGGTCACTAATAGTAATATGATTTAAATAAGTTAAGATATGACTTGGTTTCGGTTCCTAGTAGGCTTGAAAATATTTCTTTGCGCTTAAAGTTGACACCGTCTTAGCAAACATCACGAGATGTTCTTTGTCACCTCTTTTCCAGAATTAGAAAATACCATTGGGGCTACCGGTCACTGGGAGAAAGCACTATATTCATATTCAATCCATAGTATGACTTAATTCTTGAACGTGATAACTCAACCCTACGACAGTTGCCTGTGATATTCCTATTCTTCAGACGAACTTTGCTGTCTGGTAGGGACCTTGAACTAGTGTCCTATAATCAGTGTAACTTCACTGGTTTACAGAGACAAATACGGTTATTCCCACCGACAAGATAAAGATTTTCGGTTAGAGAATTGTAACCCCATGTCATGGGATTTTAATCTTTAAACCAAAACTATATCTGATTTTTTTCAAACAGGTTCATAATAACTGACTATAACACTATTATACTTCAACGAATACGATCTTTTATAGAACAACGCTCATTGTGTGAAAATGTTCTCCTGATCGTAAAGTGCTTTTTGCAATTAAATCAAAACTAATCGAAAATAATAATGGTTTATTATGCACGGTCATAGAAATATCGACTGATAGAAAAAGTCCAACTGACTATAATACCATGTTTGTTCCATAAGTGAAATTCATTATAAACAATTCAACCAATTGAATATATAGCGTCAAATTAGCAGATAAGAAATCGCAAATTGTTGATAACAAGCACTCATTGAGTTCTTGTAATTAACTCTAACCTTTGTTGTAGCGCTTCCCAGGACTTTTCAACTTGGTACTGCGAACATTCTGGATCCCATTCTGTACTTAGAATTACATGAGCATAGTCGATAGGACTTTTCTGAGAACAATACTGACCTGCTTCAAACCAGGTGTACCCACCAGTCACCTCAGCAACAGCAGAAGCTTGTCGTACAAGACGTTCTAACGCTGCTTCCGGACTTAAATTGTTTCTCTCACACAGCCGGCGCTGAGCTTCTGCTTGGGATAAAACTGCTAACCATACCTGAAAATTGGAAAAATTTGAGGTTAGAATAGTTCAACACATTCTGAAAGTCTTTGGTCAACTATGGGCCACTCATCGATCTACTAGTCAATAAACGCGTGGCGAGCCTCTAGCAGACCGGATCGTGTGTCTTGAATTCTATCATATGTTTTCCAGCATCAACTACTTAGTATGTTGACATTTACACTAGATTTAGACCACTAATATGACACCCATGTAGTGAACTATAATTGTTCAATTAAACTGTAAAGCTAGGATAGGACTGGTTGATTCTACCGTCACGTATTTTGGTCAGCCTCTTTCCTCAGAAGAGATATTAGGGTCCCTAATATCTGATTACTGTCATATTTCAAGGTTTCGTATACTAAGACTTCATTGCTACTGTTAAGACGATAATAACAAATACAATCCATTCAAGACATGAAAATAAATATAGAGTTAAAGAAATAAAGGTTCCGGTTTCGATCCCCAACAGGGTCTTTGGTGCGCACCGTTGAGGAGTCAGTCCCATACCAAAATGAAACAGTCATTCAGTCCTCCTTAGTTTTCAGTAGTTGTCTAGGGTGCAATTTTAATTTTTAAAAAGTAACCAATATAAGGAACAGAACGTACCTCGTGGCATATTTCATTCCACTTAGCCTGTAAAAGCACCGCGGCATCTATAATAATAACCGGACGTTTAGGATCCCGATCTTCTAATGCTTTACATTCTATTTCTTTTACAACTGTTAGAAATTTCTTTAATATTTCAGGCCAAACTATCGAATTCAGATTTTTCAGTTGAGCAGGATCAGAAAAAACTAGCCTTCCAAGTAAACCTCTGTCTATTGGATAGGGTGGCACTGGAGATGCTATCTTTTCTCGTCCAAAATGAGACAAAAGAGCTTGGTGACAAGGAGTACCAGGACTGTAAATTCAAGCGACAGAAAAGCAATACATATTTGAGGTATTTTTATTAAAATAAGATATTTGGAAATAATATATCGATAACAAAAAAGTTACTACTAAGTGAAACACATTGATACTTTAGATAGAAAAGTCAACTTCTTCAGGGGATTAATAAACCCATACAAAATAATACTACTGGAAGCTTCCAGGTAGACTGACACTCTTATTTTAATTTTAAACGAGTTATGGTTGCCATTCAGAATGGATAGTTGTTGATTGAATAAGGGATATCTGTTGTCAGTCATTTTTGTAAATGTTTCACAAACCAATGAATAACATCATCTGCAGGACTATATACACATGGCTACGATGAATCAACGAATTGTAACTCAACACAATTATATAGTAATCATGTCGCTATGTAATTAAATAGTTATCATTTTATTTGCCTACTTGGTCTCAACACCGGTAAATCATGCTCAGAGCGGGTCTGCTAGATGACATGCGTAAAATACGACCCAGTCAGCGAACCCAGTGTTTCAAGACGAACAAATGTATTTAATCACCATCTCAACATTAACCAGACACAATGTTGAACCTAACCATCTAGACAATTCCTCCGAATCAAAAACGAAGTCATCAGCGCTCAGAAGGGGCATGTTTCACAAACAAAGCTAAGTTGCACGTATTACATACCTGATCTTTATCAGATAGAAAAACGTCGTGACAGTACAAAAGGTGGCTCGAAATAAACAAAATTTCGGCTGCCATTACATTTGACTTGATCTCACCCATCAAACTAGCTTGAGCAATAAAACAGCTACCCAGATGCTAGAACTTAACTTATTCTGACGGTACACTACTACATTCTATTATACACGTTATACTTAGTTTCTGTTGAGACACTCCGTTAAGATAAAATTGAAGGTAAGGGAAAAACCGATCTAAAAATCACAAACCTAAACATTAAAATGTTCGACCTTAGGAACCTTTTAAAGCAGTGATTAACGCCAGTTCCAATTCACGAAAAATTAGTACACTGAAATGAGAGAATATTATCTGTTACGAAACACTATCAACCAACCTAATTAAGATATATATATATATAGAGAGAGAGAGAGTTTTAGTATTGTACAAGAAATTCTTTAAATCATTCAAAATCAGTGTCATTTACAAGCACTTACATATATGCTTCATGACCGAGACGATCACAATCGATTACATGAACTTGATCACTTAAATGTTCAAGTCGTCTGGCCAATGATGATTTACCAGAACCAGATGGTCCTGTTAAACCAATCAAATATGGACTACGTGAAGAATTATTTACAGTTATATTATTAACAGGTTTTAACAGACTGCCTAGTTCATTGAAACGAAGTTTTGAAGAACATAACTTGATATCCGACAAGTCAAAAGGGTAGGCTTTACATTCGTTGGAGATCCTGTTGAAAAATAAGAGGGAATAGTAGGAAAATGTACCAGTTTAATAATAAGTGTGACACAAAAACATTATTTCTTGATAATCAAGATATGTCTATATAATATAAGCTATACATGATACAAATCACAAGAGCTGACTGTTGAAATCCAAGAGTAGGTGAAGGGGGCTCAAAAATATTATTTAATTTATGACAGCTTAGTCTTTAGACTATTGAATCCCAAATTCGCTGGATAATTTCACCAGAATAATAGATAAATTACAAAGGTGCGATAGCGAAATGGGAGATTTACACTGCAACTATTTGATGCTATGGAGAAGTCTAACAGTCAAGCCCTTAATCACCGATTAATGAAACTTACAAAATGGACTTTGTACAATAGTCTACGATATCTAATCGTTTTCTTGTATTACATAAAAATGATTGACTCAACTAGATAGCTATCTTGTTTTCTGATATCAGTTCAATTGGTAGCTTACGTTAATAATTCGGTTTGGTCACTGTAGCCATTATTCGGTCATTTTTTATCAAGGTAGATTATCTATTGGTCAGAATTATTTTTGTTTTCTTTTAATAGTCGAATATTCGTCTATCAAACTACAAAGTTCAACGCCATAACACTACTGTTGATTTAGATTTCCAGAGTAAAATATTCTGACAGCATGCAAAATGAACGTATCAACTGAAACTGAATTGATATTGCTCTCCCTCCCCTCACTTAATACATCATCTTTCATTCAATACAACCATGTAGCACGGATGTGAAGCGTTTTTAATAATGCAAAATTAGACTTTTCAGGAGCACTAATTACACAGCTATATTTTCCATTAAATTAAAATTCCGCATCAGATCAATGATTATTTGAGTAAAATAAAACTATATTGACAACCTTAGGTAAACTGATCAGATTTGCGATAGCGCTTCTTAGGTTTTTTGTGAGAAATTCACGATACAGCGGGACGTAGTACTTATTTTTTTAGAAACCAGGTAAAAAATTGTCTAAATCCAGTCCCGAAATTGTTTACGTTTAACAAAAATAACATTTGCGTGACCACATAGTTGAATGTGGCATGACAAGTGAGCAAACTTACAATAAAGATATGTTTTTGATGTAGACTGTATGTGAGCGAACTTGTTGTGATTCAGGGAGGAGTCAATGATGTTTTATGGATAAAAAAATATTTCTCAGGATAGGGGTTTGTGGAGATCGTAGTAATTTAAAAGTTGAATTCATGTATCGATTTAAGCCAGACCACCGTGGAAAACCCGGATTGGTTGAAGTTAGACATTAACACCGTTGGATGCCGACCCAGTGGCCTAGAGGTTAAGAATCTGCGCGCGAAACCGAAGACCCTATATCTGAGTCCCGCATGCGGCATCGTGGATGCTAGGACGAAATGGCCGTACAGTGCTTCCAGGTTTTCTATGGTAGTTTAGCTTAAATCGACTGACTTATGAATCCAACTATTAAGAAAATATTTCCCTACTCTAAACACTCACCCAAATCCTAACCACAGCTCTAACCCATTTTCGCTTACTATAATAACTCAACATGAGGTTTACAATTCAGTTCAAAAATACTTGTCCACCGCAATCTAGTTACTTTTTGTTGTTTTGTAGCTAAGGATTTTTGATTGGCTAATAATAAATTCCTCAAGGCTGTCAGTACAATGCGGCCTCACCCTTTTTCCTATGGTCGTCTCCTTTGATACTATAAAAGAACAAACGAAGTAAAGAAGTTAATCGAATTGAAGTAAAGTTCCCGCTGAATTTTCGCAACCGATCAATAGGAAACCATAAACCTAAGTAGCGTGTTTTTATATATTGACCAATGACATATACTTACAACATTTCAAAACCTACCCTTTCTATTTTGACTGATAGAATCTGTGAAAAACCAGTACTTGCAAAAAAACTGTGATTTGCATGACTCAAGATGGAAGATAAACAGGACAGATGAGGATTTATCATACAAAAAGGAAATAAAAGATATCTGAATCTACATTGAAATTTTAAAAGGGCAGGCTTCTATCATTTTACGATTCATTTTTTAATACAAATCTATAACTATGTGTCACATTTACACATTTCATAAATGACTTTAATCAGAAATAGCCTTTCCATAAAAATGTTTGCTACCATTCATTTTGAAATATCATTAATTACTTTAATTGATTTCCGGCAGATTTTTTCCTAAAAGTACATCTGACAATATTAAATTCATTCTTGCTCCCAGCAACTTAATATTTAGAGTCAAAGATTATTAGGAAAGAAAAGCATTAAAAAAATTCTTCATCGAGCTTAAATCTTATTGAGCCTACGAACAGATTTTAGCTAGACAACGATTAAAAACCTGTAAGTACTGGATGGCCGTTTCGTCCTAGTGTTGGACTCCTCAGCAGTATTCATTTACGACTCCGTGACAGGAAATCGGACGTGCGTCATTAGACCAAAGAGGGGAGATTTGGTGGTGTACAAGTCCAAATTAAATCAGTTCAATTTAAATTTATTACGGAGATTTACTGTCATACATATTCGAATAGGACGTTTTTCTGTAATTTCATAAGCGTCGAAAAAAAGACATACATAGTTAAGACAGAAATCTAAACCAAGTATATTGAACAGCTAGAAACAAAAATACATTGAATTTAATAAATAGGTAAGAAAATTTTGAGAGAGAAAAAAGCATTTAAAATGTATCTTTAACTTACTTAGCTGAATATATAAAATTGATTACTTCAATTTTTAACGGCTTGAATCCATTCGCACGTCGTAATTCATTCAGTTTTTCACAATTCTATTAATGTAAATATGAGAAATCCTCAGAATAATATTATTATTTATTTATTTAAACAAATAAATATTGATACAAAGGGGCACCAGATATATACGCTTCGCACAAATCTCATTTTACTTGTGTGAGGGCTGCGATACTGCCTAGGTGCCCAAACCAAAGCAGGTGGTTTTCTTAGGGGACCAAACCCCGATTCGTTGACCTATAGGTCTAATCCACAAGGCAGTGGAGCATTGTAAGGAGATGCAGTCCCATGGTAGCCAGTGAGCAACGATTGTTCCCTCAGGATACTGGAGCCCATGTACACCATTGGTTTGAAATCAGCGTTTTCCAACTCCCCTAGGTAAACTTTCCATGTCCACCAACCCGGTTAAAGCGCCGGACATTCGCTTTTTGTCCTCACAATTTCTTAAACAACAATAACGTCACGAGAAGGCAGTGAGTAGGACTTCCCTGGCAGAAGCTATATACGCGTGGCCATGTGAGAGCATTTCGAGAGGGAGAGCGGACTCTCCCCACTCTCGGCCGTACCAGGGCATTTGGGGGCAGAATAATATTAATGAGAAGCTTATTATAAATAATTAATTACACATGTGTAAATATTTGACTTCCTGGTTAAAACGTTGCCTAGTTAGATGATTTGTAAAATTTTAGTTTAAGGTTGCTTTCTGAACTGACTGACACCATCTGAAAAGCTTTTGGAAACTAAGAGCTGAGTGGTTTTTCCATTATATTATTTGAGACTCCTTAACAGTGAACAACCATAGTCCTCTTAACGTAACTAAACGCAAGACCTTCAAGTCAGGTGGAGAGTAGGTTGTCTTTAGATCAGTGATCTTGAAACATTTTATTTTATTTATTTATACGCATAAATATTGGGCACAAGGGGGTACCAGCTACATATGCGCCGCACAAATCTCATTCGATTTGTATGAGGGCTGCGATACTGCTCAGGTGCCCAAACTGAAGCAGGTGGTCTTCTTAAGGGGCCACACCTGGAGCCTTTGGCCTAAAGGTTTGATCCACAAGGCAGTAGAGCATCGTGAGGAGATGCAGATCTTGAAACATCGACCAACATGTTCACCACCAGACATGGCTTCAGGTCCGATTTTGTGTGAATTGTGAAGGATGGACACTAATAAGGAATATCAAGCCAATGAAAAAGGATTTGTTCTGTTCTCCTCGATCTTTTATAGACTTTTCACTTAATGTTAATTTAGAACAACATATATAAGCGAACAATATTGTTTTCGATTAGATCCTCAAATGTCAAATGTCTGGCAAATAGAGCTAGGAAGATTTGCTCAGTCGATTCTATCAACAATGAGTTAGAGGTTATCCACAATATGTTGATTGAAAGGGGTTATCCACTAGGATTCCTGAAGAAACATTTACATTCAACAAATAAGAAAGTAAAGATATCAACAGCTGCGAAGAAACCACTCTTCCTGAAACTACAATTCAACGGCGATTCAGCTGATGATGTACTACGGGATAGACTGACTAAAGCAGTTAAGAGGACGTTTAATGCTGCCAACCTCTTACTTTCTTACTCGACACGATCTATGGTGACTTCCCAACTAAAGGACAAGTTGCCTGGTTATGCCACTTCTATGTGTATCTATAAATTCAGCTGCTCCTGTGGAGAAAGCTATATTGGGCGCACTACCAGACAATTGAACCAGAGTTAGTGAACACCTCCCTTCGTGGTTAGGAAGAGGTATGGTCAAGTCGATACGGAGCTCGATTCTTTCACACTTGATTGATAGCGGTCATGAAGTTGACAGAAACCAGTCTTTTAAAGTTATTTACCGTATCCCTACTACTTTTCCTTATGGGGTTCGATCTCGTCTCCTACATATAGCAGAAGCTATAGGAATTCGATACAACAACCCAAGTCTTTGTGTTCATAGGAAATTTGTAACACCCTTATTCCTCCCTTGGCCTTAACAAATAATCTTATTTTCCATACTCTTTCTTCGTTTATTTTTCTTCACCCCCCTATCCATTATTTACTTATAATTTTTCTAATATTCGCTTCCAATTATCTGAACACTTCTTATTACGTAATCTTATAATTTCTAAGAATGTTATTTCAGTGTCTATATTTTCTAATCATTGGCCTATTTTCCTATTATGTAACATTGATTCAAGCCTTTTATTATTCTTATCACAACTAGTACACCTGTCATTACACTATCAATTTGTACCTTCTACTTATTATTAATTTTGATTATGTAATCTATTCCACTGTCATCATTGACTCATAAACTGCCTTGATTAATTTAATAATTTCGTATATGCATATAAATATTACTGTATATTAGAGTAAAGCCTGATGAGAATCTAATCGAAAACAATATTGTTCGCTTATATATGTTGTTCTAAATCACAATATGGGAATTTTTCAAATTTTAATGTTAATTGCTGAAGAAAGTTATTTTTCAAAACAATTTCCAACATTTTACTCCCATGACGGAACAGTTTAATTGTTTAGGTATGATCAATTGTAATTGAATGCATTGAATATACACCAAATTACCTTATTCAATAAAAACAACAGATCTTATTTACTATTATCATTATTAATGTTACTTGTCAGACAAAATATAATCAAGTGAGTTTTAATGTTCTTACTAGCAAGCACATATCGTTATACGATGAGTTGTATTGCTGAACGTCAACGAAGAAACAATAGCATAGTAATGAAAATACCAAGCTATTTTAAGTAAATATAAGGTCCATTAAATGAATATACGAACTGAGTTTCTGATGTTTATAGTAAAACTCGTTAAACAGTTGAAAATTCATGAGATATTTGATGGCTGTATGTGAAGATAACACGCTGAAAAAACATTGTATCATGTAAACCAGGCGCTTTAGTAAGAGCTGTGAAGACTGCATGAAAGATGAAAAGGTAAGACAAACGTTGGCATCCTATATTGATACAAAAATATAACATTTGAGGTTTCTTGTGCTTTCCGCTCGTCGATTCATTGTCTGAAAGATTGCTGATGTACATAATTAGAGAAAATCTATATAAATGGTTTTGGCGGAAAGTGGACCGATGAGGTAACCGAGTCTGATTTTTGAGGATTTCCAGAGATGATTTAAACAAGGAGAATAGTGACGAGAATACTTTATAAGCACAAAAGATGGAGTATTTTGGAGGGGATCGATTCACCTTAAATTTTGTAACGTATTTATTGGATGGCGTAACATATTTTGCCGAATACGTTTTAAATGGCGCCTGTTAAATATTAAAGCATTTAAGTGAACGATGTAAAATTAATTCCATTGACTTCTACTATTTTCCTAGCTAAATATGATTTTTAAATTAAATCATAGTGACGACCGACAGACATCACAAAGGTATTTTAGAGTAATTATATAACTGTTTTGCCAAAAACAACTCACATCTAAAGAATCAGAGCTGGCTACAATACAGTCAAATTCTGCAGAATATCCAGGTGGACCAAATTTATCAGATAATTTAACAATTTTCATAACTTCAGGCTGTACGCCTATATCACTGAGAAAGGTTTGGACCATTTGACTGCGTTTCTCCCAAGAGAATATCAATGGGCTAAGACATTTATTTGAAAGTAAATCAGAGCATGTTACACCAACAAGCAAATGTTCTTTAGCCAACAGAGCACCAACGGTAAGTAGAATTTTATGTCCATAATGTAACCGATCAAAAGTACCACCGAGACATACACGGGAAATATCCTCATGTGATCCGTCTGATGATGAAACAGTTATCTGATCAGTAATTGGTAGGTCTGACTCGAAATTATCTATACAGGTGGAAGAAAATGTTTTATGCACAAATATACATAACAAAAAATTAAAAAAGCACGCGCAAACAACACAAGGGAAGTATGACGGGGTCTGATATTTCGGAAACATAAGGCAATATATAATCATAACCTGATTACTATCAAGTATATTACACAATATTTTTTGAAGATTGGTGTATCAAGACAGTGACAGGACATTCAGTTGGCCACACACATTTAGACAACTCATTTTGAGAAAATCGCTACCCACATCCTGAAAGACAACTTCAAAATAAACCACTTATTTGAGATATCTTGAAGGGTTTGTTATGGACATTAGTTTTATTAAAAGGACCAATATTCACTAGATGCGAAGATTTGGTTAGCACGATGTGGTCCCTTAAGAAAACCACCTGCTTCGGTCTAGGCACCCGAGCAGTATCCCAGCCCTCACACAAGTCGAATGATTTATGTGGCACATATATGTTTAGTGCCTCCTTGTACCAATGTTCATGTGTTTAAATAAATAAATTGAGACTGTTTACATGTTTACCACAACCGATAACAGCCAAAAAAATCAGATTATAAGAAACACAATTTACCCACTCTTACACCTTCCAAGTGAATTAGAGAAGTGAAACGTACTAACCAACTCACTGTAATGAGAACTAAAAATTAGCGACAATACAAAACGAAGGTTTATTTTTAATTCATTGCACAGCACTTTTACTTGTGATATGTAAACTAGTCCTGAAATCTAGGACAAAAAATCCAAATATGTGTCACCAAGGTTGTATTACAATATTAAATGTCGTAAAATTCGCAACTATTGAAGATATGTAATACGGTTTCCTGAACACTTTACTTTGAACCAGATTACATTTAAGTGGCGCATATGTATCTGGTGCCGTTTTGTACCAATATGTATGTGTTTAAATAAATAAATAAAACTGCATTGCCAAATTATATCTAACCAATTGGTCAGTAGTCAAATGGCGCCCATCATTTAAGATGGCATATTACTTGGTGTTTTGTTAGTAAGGTAACAACCTCAACTAATTACAGTACTTGATACATTATGCACTCTCCTTTATTATAAAATAACTAGACCACCAAAATTTTACTTGCAAAATACCTTTCGATTTAATAAAAAGATTAAAATGTCTTGCCTATGGTAGCATATATAACACGATCACCGTAAAATGGGTCGATATTGTGGGCTTCATTTAAAATCCAAACAGGACTAAATTCAGATTCTGGTGAAATTACAATATCAAACTTTACTGAAGGCTTAGTATACTTGGTTGTAGGAAGAAGAAGACAGACGTTTAGTGATGGGCAAACCTGTAGGTTAAATGAAATCATATTAGACATAAAAAACCAACCTTACATGCGGTTGTATAACACAACGTAGCCGTCTTTTTCCAAAATATAAAGTCAGAAGGACTTTGTGGAATTGCTAAAAACAGCTTTTTATTCACCACATTTTTAACATATTTTAACAAAGAGAATAACTTTTGAGAGTGTACATGAGGTGACAAAATAAGTAAGCCAGATTGATACATATTTAAAGATAACAGATCGTCCTGCAAAATAAAGACATATACTGTAAATCTTAGTCAATGAAGAACACAAGCTTTACGCATTTATGCAAACGAAGTAAGGAAAGAGATGAACAACAGTTCAATCGCATTCACATCACCGCTTCTGGAAGTACAAACTAGAGATTCATTACATAAAATACTATCAAACACCAGTAACTATCCTAACCTGCTTTTATACTCAAATAAAACCTAAAATTCGTGAAAAACGAAGACTCGAGTCATTAAAAATAGAGTATGGGCATAAAAATTGACGGCAGTGAGACCAATGTATGTTTAGACCAGCTCAAACTTACTCGACAGATGTTTGTTGGAGGATTTTAATCAAGTTCCTGAGCATGAGAGAGTCCAAAGAAATTTCGATTGAATGGAAAACAGTAGACACAAGTGAATTACAGTACAGAATGGAATAAAATCCGTGAGTACGTTGTTTTTGCGTGATCAATGAAATTGTCTATCTCGACTATATGTTCCCAAATGCTATAGTTTAAATGAACTGGCGCTTACTAGCAGTTTTGAAATATTTTGACGTTAACTCAACCCTAACCTTAGTTATAATCCCAATTTTTACCTGTCAGCTTTCGCTTAACGGGCTTCTGTATCTAGTAGAAGCGGATCACTGATGCCTCCAGGTAGGAACCTATGTATATTAACGATAAGAGGCAAAAGAAAAAATGTTGGTAAATCATAGTGATGCTGCCCTTAGTCCTCAAGAATATGTCAACTTTTCTCTTGAAAGACTCCTGGGAAATCGCTTGGACTAGCTCAGCCGGCAGCGAATCCCAACATTTGACTACTCTTAAAGATAATTGCGTGTATAGTCCGTTCTGCTGTGTTGTCTTCAGTTTCTGGGTGTTACCTCTAAGGTTTGTGTCAGAACTAAGCCTAAGTAGGTATTTAAGTGGATGTCCAGAAGTGTTAAGTATGCTGTAGGTCATTAGTTCACCTCTAAGACGCTTGCACTCTAAAGAGTAAAGGTTAAGCGATTGTAGGAGCTCTTCATAAGGTTTGAATTTGATTCCCCGAACTGATTTCGTGGCTCACCGTTGGATACGTTCAAGAGTGTCCTTATCTTTCTGGAGTGAAGGAGGAAATACTGTTTCCGTGATCTAAATAGGAACGAATAAAACCAACAAGGTTCATGTGGAAGGCCCTTCCATCAAACTGGTCGAAAATGCGCCTCAACATTACCAGTTCAAGGTTTGTTTGAAAGGCATTTTTGTCGCAGTTAGCGTAAGACTTCAAGTCGTAGGGTACCAACACTCCTAGGTCTTTTTCAACTTGGAATACCGCTAAAGGGGAGATACCTAGGTTGCAGTTGTAGTGTTACATATTTCAGACGGACTACTTCATACTTTGAAGTTTTAAATGTAAGTCTGTTGTCATCTGCCCAACTTCAAAGTCGAGTCAGATCCTCCTGAAGTGCCAGTTTATTCTCATGGTTGCATACTTCTCTTCAAAGTCTCACACCATCAGAGGAAAGTGGTGAACCTGATGATATCTGCTGTGAGAGTTCATTTTTACGAATCAAGAAAAGAGGTCCTAATACTGAACCCTATGGGCCCTATTAGGACATTCAATAGTCTGAGAGAAAGCGAAGTTAACCCTGCCCTTGAAATGTCGACCCTCAGATATGAAGTGAGCCAATCAATAAGAGGTGGCTTGATACCTAATCATCTGAGCTTATTGATAAAACATATATGTTTGACCCTATTAAAAGCTTTCGAGAAGTCAAGGTATATGACGTCAATCTTCCCCTTGCGATCAAAGATGGTTGTCCATCTATCCAGAGTAGTAAAAGTACTTAGCGATGTCCCTTTCACTAGAAACAACTACCATTAAGCCAATGGTCTTGAGAAATTAACCTCTGCATCACCAAAATTAAAAGAGCACCACTCACCTTGAGATTGAAGTTACCTGTCTTTTGTTTTAACGACCTTCAATGCTCAAATGGTTGTGGACGGAATAGAAGAAGATTTCGCTTAACGGGCTTCCGTGTCTAGTAGCAGTGGATCACCAATACATCCAGGCAGGAACCTAGGTATATTAACGATAATAAGAAAAAAAGAAATTGGTAAACCGTAATAAGATGTTATCCTAAGCCTTAAGAATATGTCAAGTTTCCTCTTAAAGGACTCCTGAGAAGTCGCTTGGACTAGCTCTGTCGGCAGCAAATTCCAGCATTTGACAACTCTTCAGGAGTAGAAAGTGTGTCTACAGTCCATTCTGCTATTATGAGTCTCCAGCCTCTGGGTGTTACCCTTTAGGTTTGTATTGTGACTAAGCTTAAGTAGATGTTTAAGGGGATGATCAGAAGTGTTAAGGATGCTGTAAGTCATTAGGTCACCTCTGAGACACTTGTACTCTAACGGGTAAAAGTTAAGCGATTGGAGGCGCTCTTCATAAGGTTTGAATTTGATTCCCCGAACTGATTTCGTGGCTCGCTGTTGGTTACGTTCAAGAGTGTCCTTATCTTTCTGGAGTGAAGGAGGAAATACTATGTTTCCGTACTCTAGATGGAAACAAATAAAACCGTTGATGATTGCGTGGAAAGTCCTACCATCAAACTGGCCAAAAATGAGCTTCAATGTTACCAGTGCAGGGTTTGCTCGAAAAGCGTTTTTGTCAAAGTTAGCGTACGATTTCACGTCGTAGGGTACCAACATTCCTAAATCTTTTTCGGCTTGAGGTACTTCTATAGAGGAGTTTCCTAAGTTATAACTGTAGTCTGCAACATGTCTCACATGAACTACTTTACACTTTGAAGTGTTGAAGGTAAGTCCGTTGTCGTCTGCCCAACTTTGAAGTCGAGCCAAATCCTCCTGAAGTGCTAGCACATACTCTTGGTTGAGCATCTCTCTACAAAGTTTCCCATCATCAACAAAAAGCAATAAGTCAAACGATACTTGTTGTGGAAGATCGTTTGTATAAATCAAGAAGATAAGAGATCCTAGTATTGAGCCCTGGGGGACCCCCTAGGAAATTCCATAGCCTGACAGAAAGTGAAGTTAACCCTGACCTTGAAACATCGATTTTTTAGATGTGAAGCGAGCTAGTCAACTAGAGGTGGTTTGATACCCAACCGTTTAAGTTTATTGATGAGACGTATATGGTTGACCCTATCAAAAGCTTTTGAGAAATCGGCAAGACTAAACTATATGGACGAACCAATCAGAAGCTTTTGCGGGTTTTCAAGGTCACGGCGCTAAGCTCGTACCTAATGCTTACGTACGGTCGGTTTACAACGGATTTTAGAGAAGACGTGATAATTCAGCGTCTACAAGAGAACTGATCATAAGATTTTGGCGCGAAATTCAATTATCCATTTGTATAAATAGAGTTTTGGCATTATAGCTGATGTCAGTTCGTGATGAAAACCCTAAGTATAATTCCTAGTCTTAATCATGAACTGTAAATCATAATTTGAATTCTTCACACAGGTTTATGACCTTATTTAGTCTTGGTTATTATGTTGACACTCTCAGTCACCCTAGCGTCGCTCAAAGGTCGTCCATAATTTATAGTCTCATTCTTAACTCTAACCCAAAACCATACCAACAACGTTGAAGCCATGTGGTCGAGGCTAAAAGAATTTTTGAGACCTTATCATGGTTCCAGAGGTCGACTACTATGGAGCCACATGGATAAGTTCCTGTACCGGATGCACTATGATTTTAGAACTCCTGAAGCTATATCTAACCTTGAAAAGTTTTTGAGTCATGTCAAAGAACAGTATCTCCCTTAATCTTTGAGTTTTGTATAATATATTCTTGCTGTGTACTGTCTTCTGATTGGCTAATATTTCTCAAGGTCATTTAAGATTCGTTCAAAGGTCGTCCATGTAGTTTAGTCTCGCCGAGAAATCAAGGTAAATGATGTCGACCTACCCCTTGCGATCAAAGATGCTTGTCCACCTGTCCACCGCAGTCAGCAGATTGGTTATACAAGAGTGACCCTTCCTGAAACTATGCTGTTGAGGTGAGAAGAACTTTAAGGATAATAAGTAGTCGTGTATACCATCGCATATAAAGGACTCCATAATTTTAGAAGGTATCGAGAGAGGGGCCACCGGTCGGTAACGTGAGGGTTCGCTGCGTCGACATCCTTTGAAAATTGGTGTGATGTGAGCCAGTTTCCAAAATTCCAGTAGTTTGCCTCGGCTTAGCGAGTTTGAAAAGATCACGCTAAGTGGTGTTGTTAGGATTGAAGCTGCTTCGCTTAGTATAGCACAATGAACCATATCCGAACAATAGAAGTGTCTTTTTTTAGGTGCTGCAGTTTACGGAACACCAGGTCAGTGCTCAGATTCACTTTGGAAGGTCCTGTGCAGTTGCAGATGAAGCTTTCATCAGTGTAGTTGATGTGGGTCGGTTGAAATGTCCGACACTATTGTTCAGCCAAAAGGTAGGCGGCATCCCCGTCGTTACTGGTCGGACCATTAGGACCTAGCAGTTGGGAAACTCCAGTTTTGCCTTGTTGAAGAGAAGCTGCGTAACGGAACAAGCTTCTCGGATTGGAGACAAATTTGTCGATCAGTTTGGTCTGGTATTAAAGTCTGTCTTCTCTTGTTGCCTTTGTGCATATGTTCCTTATGTGTTTGTATTGCCTGTACGCACCGTTGCTATCAGTTCGTTTGTATCAGGCCCAACAGTGCCCTTTGTGGCTTAGCAAACGAAGAGTGTGGTTTTTGATGATTGTAGGTTGCTTGTGGTTTATGGGGGCCGTTTGAGGAACTGAATGCTTTGTAGCACATAAGAGCGTGTGAAGTAAGAAATCCCAATGAGCATCCACTTCAAGTTGAGAGTGGACATCTTAATCCACTTGTTGTAGATAGTCTCGTAAAGCTGACACATTTAACCGTTTGAAATTCCAGGGTCTGTTGTTGGTGGGATGTCTTAGCTCAGTTTTGCTGACAAAGCTGAAGCATATAATGGCGTGATCTCTTTTCCACAGGGAAGCCAGAATTGAGAGGTTGTCGACCAGGAATTCTTCTTTCGTAAATACCCAGTCTAAGCACGACGGTGTCTGACTGCTTCTCCAATGAGTTGCCGACTTCATATTTTCGAATAATCCCATATCCCCAATGAGGTTGAAGAACCGAGTTTCAGTTGAGTTTTCACATCCAATATAGGTATGTTCCACGAAGTCGACTCAAGGAAGATTGAAGTCCTCTAGAATCAGGATATGAGGGAAACCGAGACGCGTAGAACAGGCTAATCTTTCCAGTATACGATTGTCGTACTCGATGTCAGCCTTGGGCTTCCTGTAGATGACCCCGACTAGATACTTCGAGGTGTTAGACAGTCTTACTGAGCACCATACGGATTCAAAAAGACTGAGAAATTCTTGGCTGTAAAGTTGGTGTACCTCCAGGTATGATCGTATATACAAGGCTACTCCACCCCCATTCCTGTTTTTCTGTCGTTGCGAAACAAAGACATCCCAGGTATTGCTAGCTCCTAGTCCGTAAACTGAGAAGATATCCAAGTCTCAGATGTTCATATCAAATGAGCATTATTAACGTTGCTAAGTTCACGTAGGTCATCCACTTTATTTGGTAAACTCGCTGCGTTTATGTATAAGCAGTTTATGCTTAAACATCTGGGCTACCTGTTTCCCGTCATCTATATATTTCAACAAGTTATCTCATATTGTTTGTTTTAATACATAATTATGTCTATTGAGCACACAACCTATTCCGGTGCGTTTCTGAAAACTGTACAACCTTTCGCTGTGAAAGTTACAAAATGTCTAATCAGAGATGTCGTGTTTGCTGGGAACATGCAGCAAAAAGAATATACATTATTCATATGTCGATTGACTGAACTGCTGACATCCAACTGGCGATCACTGAATGTTTATCATCAGGAGCAACGAAGAAATAAGAAACGTAAACATGTTGAAATACTTTATGCTGAGAATTCGATTTTGTACCAAATAATATAATATTGAATAAAGCTAATAATAATAATAATAATAATAATAATAATGCTTTCAATTTGAAACCCGTGAGCTACTTTCTGTTTGTCTGTATGAGCCTTACGTGAATGGACAGGTAGTCTACCTATACAAGGCTTTCCGGGTTTATAGTACCTGTCCTTTACACGTTTTTTATGATCAAGATAGTCTACAAATGGAATTGTCGGCTCGGACTTGCCTTTGTGCTTGATCCTGGTGTCGTGTGACCTATCCGGATGCATATGGATTCCAGTTGGCAACCAACATCTGTTGGCACGAAATGCTTCCACAGTTCCAACCGCCATGATAAAGCAGAAGAAGCTTTCACTAGTAACAGTGGATCACTGACGTTTCTAGGCAGGAACTCAGTATAGTTAAAGACAAAATTGGTGGAAAACATTATTAAAGCATAGTCAGACGCTGTCTTCAGTCCTTAAAAATAGATCAAGTTTCATCTTATAGGAATCCTGAGAAGCCGCTTCAACGAGCTCAACCAGAAGTGAATTCAGGAACTTGACTACTCATAAAAGGTGAAAAGTGTGACTATAGTCCTTTCTGATACGTTGTGCCTCCATCTCCTAGGTGTTACTCCATAGGCTTGGTTCTGGTAGTGAAGTTGTGTAGGTATTTATGAAGATAACCAAAAGTGTTAAGAATGCTATAAGTCATCGTCAGAAAAAACGTAATAAATCTGACCATACTTTGTATGGAAGGCCATTTATATAAATCGAAAAAGTAAGAGGTCCTAGTGCAGAATCCTAAGGGACCTCATTAGGACCTTCCGTAGCCCATGTGATGTTTACTGTAACTTTAAACAGTCCATTATTCAGATATGAAGTAAGCCAATCAAGTAACGGTGATATAGTGCCTAACTGTCTAGACTTATTGATAAGACATATGTGATTGACCCTATCAAGACCTTTTGAGAAATCAGGTTAGACGACAGCAATCTTTCCCTTGCGATCAAA